AATAAATAAAATCTTTAAAAAAAAAAAAAAAAGAACATAAGGGTTGTCTACCCTCATGATCCCGGGGCTAACTGGGAGCTGCAGACTGTTGTTGCCCAGCATTCCACTAGCCCAAGAAAATACCAAAAGTCCACAAAGTACAGTTTCTACTGAATGCGTGCATATCGCTTTTTCACAACTGTAAAGTTGAAAAATTAAGTCAAACACCATTTGCATACTCTAGGCCAGCTTTTAAGTTTCTTCAGAAATTGACAGTTAATGTTAACTAAAAAGAGGTGGTCTGGTCAAAAAAAAAAAAAAAGATTTAGAAACAGTAGATTTAAAAATTAGACAGGTTCCTTTTAAATGGCGATTGGCCGATCTATTGCGTCTAAATCAGTGATTCTCATTTTTAGCTGTATGTTTAAATTCCCTGGGAAGTTTTACAACGCAGATTTATTTGGGCTCCACTCCTGGACCAATTAAATCAGACTTTCTAATTTAAAAGCCAATAAAAGTACAGTGAAGCAAGTGATTGCTCTCATTTTGTGGCAAACCTATAACCTAGCCCTGGCAATAAAAAAGCATCTACATATTAATCTAAAGCTACACTCTTTCATGTCTCGAATTTACAGTTACCCTTCTGTGGTTAAGTCTCTATTTGTATACTAACCGGACTTCAAATAGAAATCTCACAAACTCCACCACACACCTGGTTCTGACTCCTGCTTTTGTAAAGGTGGGAAGAACCTCAGATACGTCATCTTGGTGCTATACTTCAGAGTCCTGGTCCGTCTCATCACGTGGGCAAAGGAAAGCTTCAAGTGCTCAGTAACATTCTTGAGTTGAAAGTATTTGGTATTGAAGAAAAGGAGGGTGTTCAAGAGGACGATTGGTGAGTAAGCGCCCAGCTGTTTGCATTCCCACAAATGCTCCTCTTCAATGCGAGAGAACATGTAACCTGCACCGAAGAAGGGGGAAAGCAGTTAACAGTACTAAGCTCCTGCTAAACAGGACCAAGTAATTTCTCAAATTCTCAGACAGGAAGATATAAAGGAAATGATCCATTGTTCCCATCTTTCCCCCTCTTCCTTATATGGAAAACCAGAAAAGGCACCGCAAAGAAAGAGCAGATGACTCCACTGAAGCAGACACTGTGAGCAATCCCCTGAAACAGTTTTAATCCATTGTTATTTTAGACCAGGGTTTGGCAAACTTTTTCTATAAAGAGCCAGATGGTAAATATTTCAAGTACTGTGGGCCACAGAGGCTCTGAACAACTTTGTTGTTATTGAAGATAAGGAGCCACAGACAATACATAAACAAACAGGTGTGGCTGTGTACCAATAAAGTTTACTTATACACACAAATTTAAATTTCATATAATTTTCATTTGCCACAAAATATTACTCTTCTTTAGATTTTTTTCCCAACCATTTGTAACTCATGGACTATACAGAAACAGGCAGCAGGCCAAATCAAGCAGTTTGCAGACTCCTCCTGTTTGAGATCATTATGCTTACAGTTAACTGGTTCAGTTTCATTTTAGCTCAAATCATTAGAAGGCAGCTAGCTCCCTCCCTCCTTCACACCCCATCTTATTTTACATTTATATTAAGAGTGATTACTGTGATGACTTATATGGGATTATTCTTGAAAAGCAGGTGTCCTGCAGAAGAATTAAGATGAGTACACCTTTAAGCGCACACTCCTCATGACAGCCCTTAAATGCAGGTCCTTCCTTATGTTCTCTCACCAATCCTCTTTGTTCCTGCTTATGCATTCTATTCTTGGGAGACTAACCAAAAATATGAATTTATTACTTCCAATTTTATCTCCCTTGTCTCTTCTTTGGATGCTAAATGCATCAAGCCACCACACTGCTCAGAATGCTTCAAAGGTGCTCTCTAGCCCAAAAGAAAGGGGCACAAATTCCTGAACATCACATTCAACCTCTCCGCTCACAGCCTAGGAGCCTAAGACCAGGAGTACATCAGGGAGGTGTCCAACAACGTATGGTCAAAGATAAATTCAAGGATGAAGATTTAACTCTTGTAACAACCAGTACAGGGTATTGATAATGAACTAGTCAAAGTCCACTGCTAGTAGGTACAATCTAGAAGTAAAGTATGTGTCAGTTGCTGGTACAGTGTGCAACCTCACTGACACTACCAGACCAAAAATGGCTTCTAAAAAGTAAATACAACTTCCAGTTGTTTTTTATTTTTGTTAGTATCTATACATACACTGTATGGAAGTTATAATTTTACTAAAATCAGTAATAAGCCTAAGATTTTTCTCCTCAAAAGTCCAAATATGCTATAAATCAAGACAGAAATATAAGTGAACAATTTATAAAAAGATAATCATAAAAATTAAGCAATTTAGGAAGGCATATCATGAAAAGAATCAAAATAAAAGATAAGCATCCTACCATTAGGAAGTATTGTAGGTTCCCATATTTTCAAGAGTTTGGTAAGTTCAATCATAAATCTGGAATAGGGCTCAGTAAAAATGTTATCTATTCTACCATTTTCAAACAGGTACTACAAGAGAAAAAATGGAAACATATATGTTGATACAAAGAAAACAAAAGTTTTGGGTTTTTTAAAAATTATTTTAAGGAATAAAGTTTACCCTTAATTTTTGCCCTTAACATTGTGAACCATTTTTTAAGGATACATCTTAAAATACCAGAATTCAAGCTCTAAGGTCCTTTTCATATGAACTGTCAATACCTCAAGCACTGAGCTTGCAAGGTAAAATTTTCTATTTCCTTTTTAAAACATGGATGATACAGAATAATTATTAATAATTAAGTACCTTTTATTCAGTTCATGAAACTGATATACTAAAAAATTGCTTCTAATTTGTATGTTCCAAATCATTTTTCAAATTCCCAGGATCTAAATGCAAATGTGCTCTCAGAAGTTTTTGGTTTTTTAGCCTAGTTACAAGATCACTTCCTGAAATAATACAGTTAGCTAGTGTCAGGTGACCTGAGGATACCCAAGTTTTAAACCACAGCTCTCAACCCAGCCTTCAAAAAGTTCAAGTCTAATTATAGGATTTAAAACTATGCTAATTATAGCCATCAAGAATCATATCACAGAATGGGAAACAAGAAACAGCCTGGGTAAGTACTGCTAAAAAACATCTTGAGGTTACAGGGCAGGTAGATGAAATCACTCAGGGAAATAAAATGAGCACTTACAGAATAACACAAGGTATACTTATATGCCAAAAATCTTTTGCTGTTTTTAAGATTTGGTATTTTTTAATTTATTTATCTATGGCTATTTTGGTTTTCTGCTTTTCTATCCAATGTATGGCTTGGGAGAAAAATTTTTTTCTAGTTACATCTGTTCTGGCTAATAAAAATTATATGCCATTTCATACATGCATTTTTATAGGCTTCTTCAAAGGCAATTCATGACATTGCTAGATCACAGTTTTACTGTTGAGAAGTATTCGCCTTTTCTTCTTTTAATAAAGTTATTTTCACAACCTAAAAATATTATATCCTCATTATGGAAAAAAAGTTAAAATACAGAAAAAGTGAAGAATGACATACTCCAACTCACTACACATTAGAAATACAGAGTTGAGTTTTATACCTTTACTCAAACATATGAGTACATATAAAATACATGTTTTAAAAACCACTTTCCCCCTTAGACCAGGAACAAGACAAAATTGCCTGTTCTTGCCACTTCCATTTAACATCGTACTTGAAGTCCTAGCCAGAGTAACCAGGCCTTAAAAACAAATAAAAGGTATTCAAATAGGAAAGGTCCTAAGGAGTAAAACTATCTCTACTTATAAATGACATGAGCCTATATATAGAAAATTCTAAAGAATACATACAGCCACACACACACAAAAAATTGTTATTAGAGTTAATAAATGAATTCAGGGAAGTTACAGGATACAAGCAGCACAAAAATCAATTGCAAAGAACAATACAAAAAGGAAATTAAGAAAACAATTCTATTTACAATCGTATCTGAAAGAATACTTAAGAATAAATTGAACCAAGGAGGTACATGACTTACACACTTAAAGCTACAAAAAAAATGAACGCTAACAAATTAAAGAATACTTAAGAAAAACATCTCATTCATGGATCTGAAGAGAATACTGTTAAAATGGCAATACTGCCCAAAGCAACCTACAGACTGAGTGCAATTCTCAAAATCTCAATGGCTTTTTTTCCCCCCCAGAAAGGAAAAAGCCAATACTCAAATTCATATGGAATTGCAAGGAACCTTGAATCGCCAAGTTAATCTTGAAGAATCACACTTCCCTATTTCGAAATTTAGTACAAAGCTACAGTAATCAAAATAGTGTGTACTGCTATATGAATAACCATATAGACAAATGTATTAGAATTGAGAGTCCAAAATAAACACATGTCAAGTAAACACATATCAAATGATTTTCAACAAGGATGTCAAGACCATTCAATGGAGAAAGAACAGTCTCTTCAACAAATAGTGGTGGGAAAACTGGCTATCTACATAAACAATTATCCCTAACTCACAGGTATCCCTACCTTACATGAGATAAAAAAATGAATACAAAATGGATCAATGACCTAAACATAAGAGCTAAAACCATAAAACTCTTAAAAGAAGACATAGGGGTAAATCTTCATGAACTTGAATTTGACAATGGATTCTTGGATAAAACACCAAAAGCACAAAATAACAGAAAAAATAAACTGAACTTCATCAAAATTCAAAACTTTTGTGCATCAAAGTACACTAACAAGAGCGTGAAAAGAAAACCCAGAAACTAAGAAAAAATATTTGCAAATCACATATCTGATAAAGAGTTTAATATCCAAAATATATAAAGAAATCCTACAACTCAACAACAAAAAGACAAACAACCCAATTTAGAAATGGAACAAAGGTTTTAAATATTTATCCAAAGAGGATATAAACAAATGGCCAACAAGTACATGAAAAAATGCTCAATGACCTTTAGTCATTAGGGAAATGCAAATCAAAACTACAGTGAGATATCACTTCATATCCATCAGATGACTATTAAGAAAAAAGGAAATTAACAAATGTTGGCAAGGATATGGAGATAAATAGAACCCTCATACATTGTTGCTGGGAATGTAAAACGGTACAGCCACTGTGGAAAAGGGTTTGTTGGTTTCTCAACAAGCTAATCATAGAGTTACCATATGACCCTGTGATTCCACTTACAGGCATAAGACCCAAAAGAGTTGAAAACAGGCGTTCAAACAAAATCCTGTACATGAACGTTCACAGTATCATTCACTTTTCGTGATAGCCAAAAGGTAGAAACCACTCAAATGTCCATGAACAGATGAGTGGATAAACAAAATGTGGTATATCCAAGAATTAAATAATTCAGACATAAAAGGAATGAAGTACTGATTCATGCTACAACATACGTGAACCCTATGTTGAAAGAGGCTGGACACAAAAGGCCATATAAAATTGTATAATTCTACTTATATGAAATATCCAGAATAGGCAAATCCATAGAGGTAGAAAGCAGATTTATGGTTGCCAGGGACTAAATGGAGGAGGTAATAGGGAGCGGCTACTTAATGGGTATGAGATTTCCATTTAGGGTATTAAAGTTCTAGAGCAACATAGTGATGACGATTGTACAACATCCTGAATGTACTTAATGCCACTGAATTGTACACTTTAAAATGGTTAGTTTTATGATGTGTGTATTTTATCATAATGTAAATATTGCACTACACTACTTTAAAAATATATGTCTCTAAGAGTTTTCCATGTAAATATGTATAAGAGCAATTCACTGCTTTTTAACTACTATATGGTATTCAATAGTACAGACACACTACAGATGACTGAACCATTACTATTTTGATGAACACATAGATGGCTTCCAATTTTTTGCTGTTAAAAACAATGTTACAATGAAAATACATGTCTTTCTATATACATGTGCGTGCATTTCTTTGGGGAAAAATACTGATCAATGGATTTACTAGACTGATGAATCTATATGCATTTAAAAGTTTTTTTTTTTTTTTTTTAAGGATTTTTAAGTAATCTCTACACTCAACACGGGGCTTTAACTCACAACCCCGAGACAAGAGTCACACACTCCGCTGACTGAACCAGCCAGACACCCCTACATGCATTTAAAGTTTTAAAAGTCACATCAACTTGCCCTCTGAAAAAGCCTCCACACAAGAAAAATGTATACGTCTTCACTAATACTTGGTATTATCAAACTTCTCAATTGTTCAATTTTCTTTTCTTTTTTTAAAGATTTTATTTATTTATTTGACAGAGACACAGTAAGACAGGGAACACAAGCAGGGCGAGTGGGAGAGGGAGAAGCAGGCTTCCTGCAGAGCAGGGAGCCCGATGCAGGGCTCGATCCAAGGACCCTGGGATCGTGACTTGAGCTGAAGGCAGATGCTTAATGACTGAGCCACCCAGGCCCCCCTCAATCGTTCAATTTTCAATCAGCCTAATGGGTGAAATTCTTCCTTAGTTATAGCTGAGTACCATTCATATTAGAGAGGCGGTCCACCACAGTGATCATAAGAACAGACTCTGAAAATAAACCATCTGGATTCACATTCTGGCCCTGCCAATTACTACCTTGGGGACTTCAGGCAAGATTTTCACTCACTGTGCCTAGCAGAAAATGGTGATGATGATAGTCCTTATACATCAGAGGGGCGCACTAACAAATAAATGAGTTAATATATGAAATAAGCTTATATTAATACACAGCATACACAGTAAATGACTATTAGGCATTCCTGGTACATTTTGCCTGTTAGCTATCTGTTGATTTTCTTTGTTACTTGCCTATTTGTTTCTTTTGTCAATTATCCCCTTCTTGGCTAATGTTAACAACGGTGGTCCAGGTATTGACATTACAGTTGAGTTTATTTCTTTACATTTTTATGTATTTTTAAAATTCTTTACAATAAGCATAATTATTTTTATAATCAGAAAAAAAAGAAAAGAGGAAGCACATTTGAGATGTCAACATAAGTAACCTTTTAAAATTCTTTACAGTTAAGGAAAAGCTACTTTTTGTCAAAATTGATAAAATGTTCATAATATTTACTTTCTAAAACAATCAGCTGACAATTTATTAAATTATAGCCTTTTTAATAGTTTTATTAATATAACAATATGATAAATATACTAGAAAAAACTCTAAGTTTCTGATTTGTCTCACAAATTAGAGTATATTTTATAGGTGGCAGAGTATTTGGTATGTAAAGCAGTCCAATGTTTTTTACTGAAATCACAGCAATGACGTTTGATTATACTCAAATCAGAATAGGAATCACTACCACACTTCTTGACATCTGCATTGATAAAATTAGAAAATGCTCTTTAGATCCATAATATCATAAACTCTAAAAGTACAGGAAGTGTGCTTTAGAATCTTCACAATTTTTACCTAACCAAAATGCATGCGTGGCGATAAATTTTGGTTGAAAGAACCTATAAAAGGGGTGCCTGGGTGGCTCAGTCATTAAGCATCTGCCTTCGGTTCAGGTCATGGTCCCAGGGTCCTGGGATCGAGCCCCACATCAGGCTCCCTGCTCAACGGGAAGCCTGCTTCTCCCTCTCCCACTCTCCCTGCTTGTGTTCCCTCTCTCACTGTCTCTCTCTGTGTCAAATAAAATAAAATTTAAAAAATATATATATCTTTTACAATCAAGAAACTGAATCAAAATATAGTGGGAATAATAATTAAATAACGGAAGTACTCTTTTGACTCTCGGGAAAACGAATGCTGCTTGCATAACTAGATACCCATCACAAATCTTATTCATCAGAAATACACTTGTATCATGTACAAAAATGAATTTCAGATGTATTAAAGATAATCTTAAAAAAAAACCCAAATATTTAAGAAAGAAATCTATGAGAATTTAAATACTTAAGTAGGAAGACCATCCTACGCAACACAGAAAAACCAGGAATTTTAAAGGGAAATAAATGCATATTATTAAACTATGTAAAAAAGAAAAATTTTTGAATGGCAAATATATAAACAAAAACTGGAAAACAAAAATATACTGGAAAAATTTATTTCAAGCATTTACATCAGAGTTCTTATCCCCAATATAAAAGAGATCCTACAGATAGAAAGGAAAAATCCAAATGACCAAAAGCATAAAAAGACATTCTACTTTATAAAAATTGGAAAATACAAATTGGAGCCACCAGATGCCCTTTTTTTTTAAGCCATCAGACCATCAGAATAATAAACATTATAAAGAGGAGAATCCAAGAAATGGGCACTCATAATACTGCTGGTAAAGCTGTAAATTAACCGTTCTGGAAAGTAAAATGAAAATATCTTAAAATTTAAAAAATCTATATATGCAGGTGCCTGGGGTGGCTCAGTCGGTTAAGCATCTGCCTTCAGCTCGGGTCATGATTCAAGGGTACTGGGATCAAGCACCACCACCTCTGGCTTCCTGTTCAGCAGGGAGTCTGCTTCTCCTTCTCCCTCTGCCCCTCCCCCTGCCCATGCTCTCTCTCAATCTCTTAAATAAATAAATAAAATCCTAAAAAAAAAAGAAAGAAAAATCTATATATGCTTTAACCTAAAAATAAAAGCATCAGTTCATCAGGCACTCAAATAAAATATTTACTAAACCACTGTATTAAGACTAAGGGGGGGAGTAACGTGAATACTTAAAAGAAAAAAGGGTGAATAATTGGTATATTCGTATTCTGCAATATTACGCAGCTTTCCTTTATAAAGGAAGGAATTTGATTTTATGTTCACCTGGAGGGATACACAGATTGAGAAAAGTAAGCTGCAAAAAAATGTATATGGTATCAGCCCCATTTTGCTAAAAACTAAGCAAAACAACTATACACATCTAAAACATCTATACACACGCATATGTGTATGACACAGAAGGACAGATACTGCAACACTGGTTATCTCAGAGACTGGGAATGAAGGAGAGAAAACTGTCCGTATATGCCTTCAACTTACTGTTTTTAACAGTTACACTGAACACATATTACTTTTATAATTAAAAAACAAAACTTTAGGAATGCCTAAATAAAAGAACACCCCCCCCACCATACAAATGGAAGAAAATTTCGCAAATAGAGAAAAGAAAAATCAACAACATCCAGAGCACTACCACCCAAGATGATAACCACTATCAACATATTTTGATGCATTTCATTTTATTACATATTTATAGGACTGGTTTTTAAAATCATTGTATGTTAACATATACTGATGCACATAGAATTCATATTCTCATTTTGTTTATTTAATGCTTTAGTATTAGTATTTTACACGTTACTAGAAGTTACTTTGTAAACAATTTTTATTGGCTACATAATATACAAGTTTATAAATATATTATAATTTACTTAAACATAACACTCTGGTGGGCATTGAAGTTATTTCCAATTTTGTGCAAATGATGTCTGAATTTCAGAGTATTAGCTTTGTCAGACTCCCAAAAAGTGAATTACTGGCAAAAGAGTATGAACATTCAAAAATATTACTGAAACACATGCCCAAAACTGCTTTCTAGAAGTGTGTACTAATTACCACCAGCTATGAAGGCAAATCCCCTTCACAGAATTCGTATCAACAATAAGTGTTATAAATATTTTTTGCTAATGTGATAGACAAATAATGGTATGTCATTTTATTTTATTTTTTTAAAGATTTTATTTCTTTATTTGAGAGAGAAGAGAGCACACAAGCGGGGAGAGGGAGAAGCAGACTCCCCGCTAAGCAGGGAATCCGACATTGGTCTCAATCCCAGAACCCTGGAATCATGACCTGAGCCGAAGGCAGACTCTAACCTGATTGAGCCACCCAGGTGCCCCATGTCTGTTATTTTAATGTGCATTTAGAAAATTTTAAATAAGACTACATGATTTACATAAGTACATATATACACACACAGTCACCTATGTCACTTTTTGTGACTTTGCTATTTTTGCCTTTTTTGTCCATAGAACAATAAAATGCACCATCCTGAATTTCTGTTATTCTACTAACAGTCTCAATTTGGCTTATGGAAGGCTATATGATCAAGACTTTTAAATCAGGGGCAGTGGTTCATTAAGAACAGAGTATAAAAGCAATACCAAACCACCATATACACTATAATTTTCAGCTTGAATCACAAGATCTATCAGAATTATTAAAAATGCAATACATTTTAGAACAATTACTGAATTTGATACCTGCTGAATTCCAAGGCACAAGTATAAGATACTGTCTGGATCATATTTTTCACCATTTGGTCTCCGCACTTCTTGGATAAACTGGCATAAACCCAAACTCAACTCAGCAAAAGTGCAGGACAGAATATCTTCCTTCAGCTTGATAGAACGGACTATGGAAAGGTAGAAAACATCTGAAATATTAACTTATAAGAAACACAGTAACATTACTTTAGTCACTGAAAAACACTGACTACTACTGTGGGCTTAGACATTATAGTGTACACTGGTGAATACATGGATTACAGATAAATCCCGATCTGAAGGCTTTTTCAGTTAAAGAAATAAAAACAATGCAGTGCACCATGTGTAACAGGTGCTGTGACAGGGGTTTAGTTTAAGAAGGATTCTAGGAAAGCAAATGAGGAACATCTATCAGACAGGGAAGGGTCAGGTGAGATTCTGGAGGATGTGACACTAATGCCAGACCTTGAAAGGTGAAGAAGAATTAAACAAACGAATAAAGAATTGCAATCTAAGGATATAAAAATACTTCCCGAAGCATATTCCACAAAGTACTAGTAATATGAGAGCTGGAGAAAACTGGGTTTCTAAGATCTAATAAATTTAGAAAACAGCAGCATACTATATCTGCGTCTGAAGAATTCACAATGATACATAAAAGGTTTATTAACGGTTCTGAGAATATCTGCATAAAAATGCTGTTTAACATTCTCTAACTCCGATTTATTTGAATAAAGAACACTTCAAGTAACATCTAACATCTTCATGCCCTTAGAAATGCTGGAATACAGAAAAATGAAAAGATTGAGGGGACTCAGATATACAGGAAAAAATCAAGAAGGGCAGATGAAGGCGAATGGTGGTAAATCTCAACTAGCATATTAAGGCTTTGAAGACAACTAAGAACTGAATTAATTTTACCAGGAGAGCGACCCAATTTGATTTGTAGAGATCCTACAATTTGATATGTAGAGAAACTACTCCAGTAGAGATCCTACTTCAATTCAGATTAGAATGAAAGTACTCTTTTTCTAGTCACTGCTCCTCTGCATTTAGATAAGGTTGCATGTTTTCAAAGATACACTCGAGTTCCCCTGATTTAGTTTTTTAAAAGGTAAGTGGTGGTTCAGAAGGGCAAGGACCATGTTTGACCTTTTCACCAAAGTACCTAACCACCATGCATGGTACATACCTGGTACATAAATTCAGTACTTTTTGGATGAATGAATAGCAGAAATGAGTAGGCATCCCCTGTGGCTATTGCATTTAGGCCTGGTAGTCTAATATAATATTACCTCTCCATTCTCCCTATCCCTCTTCCTTCTTTAAAACAAAGAGTGCGTTGGCTCAAACTGGGAGTTAAAGGGCCTAATAAACCTCCCTAAAAGTATATTTTTATCACTCAGCAGAGATTACACTTGATCTGCAGGAATTCAGTGCATCAGTCACAGACCACAGCAGCTACTAACTGCTCCAATAAGGAGAGTGACATGTACCCAAAAGCCAGCAGGGTAGACTGAGGTGAAGCCAAGAGTGCATGCAATTACCTGATTGTTAGAAAGAAGGTATAGTTGGAAAGATGCAAAGTATCTAGTGACAAGGACATACTCATCCATTCCTGCCCTATCTCATTCCACAAAGATTATAGTAAGTATCTCACATAAGACACAGATAATAAAAAAGGAAAATAAAAACTGAAAACAAAAGTTTAGAATAGGAACTTCAAAACCAGAGGGGAAAAAAAGTAGGCTCTAAAATTAAACGCTGCTGCTCTATATGAATTGCTTATTGGGTCCCAAATTTCCTGGCACCCAGTCTCACAGAGTTTATTATTAGGAAAAATTCCTACAGAAGAGGCAAGGCTTTTCCAGGTAAAATTTTTCTCAACACCACCACCAACAGCAGAAGTGTCACAATGGGTTCCATGTTACAGATACAGGGCTCAAGAATACAGATTTGAGTCACCCGCATAATGTTAGAGGAAGGAATACAATTCCTCGTATTTGCATAACAAATTCATGCCCATACAACCTTACCTTCATAACAAGATCTTTGTAATTCAGAGTAGGATATTAATTTCTCTCTTTTACCATAAGACTCCAATTTTTAAATAATCTTAAATATTCCCATTTACAAATTTAAAATTGGCAATAATATTAAAAAGTGATTCAGAGAATTCAGACTACAAAGAGAAATGATTTTACCTCTACAGCCTGGCTCTGAGGATTCTTGAGAGACTGCATGGTCTTGAGCACTTCCTAAAGGGTCAGAACATGGGCTAGACGCAGCATGTTCAATACCTGACAAGGAGAGAAGAAATTAAAACTTTAAATAAAAATGGAGGAAAATTTAACACCAAAACCAAAGTTTTATGCAATTTTTGACCTAATGTGTATCCCTTTTGTGTAGATTGATGACTTGAATTATATACCCCCAACCCCCTCAATCAAGACACAAATTCATGCTGTGTATTTACCGCCACATTTCAGATCCCCCTGCTCTTCCTTGGCATTTTTCCACTGAACCCAGTTCTTCCAGGCATTTACCCCATACATGTATTTCAGTGTCATCCCAGACACTGAACATCCCTGAAAGGCTCCTTGAATAAGACTTCTGGGCTCCACAGCCACTATAGACTTCTTCCGTCCCTGTAAGAATTCCAAAAATGCACAGAATATAAAATTTAGTTCTGAATCTTTAAGAAACATAGTTCTCAAAGAAAGAAGGGAATAAACTTACAGAATACACAATTTATTATTAGATCCTAAATATTCAGAGTTCTTAAAGCTAGAAAGAGTTTTAGAGGTTAATCCAATCCATATAGTAAAGAAAAAAAAAGGAGAGAGTTGAAATGCAGAACTCTAATAATTACTAACATTAGAGTACTATGTTCCAGAAACTGAACCCACCCTATGAAGTATGAATAAGAGTTATTACCACTCAGGTCTATTTCATGGAACATACGAGCAGATCCATTCTGGGATCCAAAACAAGCCCCCATAAATTCTCTACCTACAATCAAATTAAACTAGAAACCAATAATGAAATGATGTTAAAAAAATCCTCAAAAATTGGGGTGTCTGGGTGGCTCAGTCATTAAGCATCTGCCTTCGGCTCAGGTCATGATCCCAGGGTCCTGGGATCGAGCCCTGCATCAGGCTCCCTGCTCCGAAGGGGGTCACCTCCCTCTCC